GGTTAAGATTTTAAAAATACTTTTCGTACTTAAGTGCAATAAATATCACATACTTTAAGATTTTTACTCAAGTAATATTCTAAATGGTGATTTCAACTTCTACCAAAGTAATTTTCTGGTAATATATCTGTACTTTTACTTGAGTATGGCTTTCAGGTACTTTATACACCACTGGTTAACAGGTTGAGAACATTCGTAGCGAACAACAATATGTTTTACCAACGTTGTGCTAATGTTCTAAATACGAATAAAAGGAACTTTTTATTTAGATTTTTCTTTTTCTTTTCTTTTGTTCTCTGAACATTCTGAAACAAGTAGCAACATTTAAAAAAATGTTAGACGAATGTCTAACTAAAACATTTCTGAAAATAAAAAACATTCCATGAATGATGTATGTTTTTGTGCTAACATTTTCAGAACATTCCCAGTTAACAAAATATATTCTAAGAAATTTTGCTAACATTTCCAATTATGAAAATGTTATTTCTAAATGTTCTCACAATGATGAAAACATCCAGCTTTCCATGAATGTTGTGCAAGTAATTTTTTTTAGCATTATTAAAGCGAATGTTAAGTTAACATTAGTGGAAGAACGTTTGTTCATAATTTTGAGAGAACCTTGCCAGTCCGTTGGCCAAAGTTCTGAAAATGTTATGTATTTAAAATCTGACAAAAGGCCACCGCTGTCAAGGTCACACAAATGTTACCAAACAACAACTGTTTACTGTCATCAGAAACTGACTGGCTGAATGAAAAGACATGATGCCTGAAACAGCAATTAGATGATCTCCACAGTCCTCAGATGCTCCTTTCAGTCTTTGTGTCTCAAAACCACCAAAACTGCTTTGAGTACAGATGGGCAGTCTTTGCTATGGGAGTCTGCTATTTATTTTTTTGGGAGAAATGCTACAGATTGTCGGGTTCGTCTTGTTCTTAGCACCATCAAAACAACAGAACATGTCAGACGACTGTGTCATTCCTGTTATTATTGCACATTCACACAAAACACAGGGAGTGTCTGTATGATTTATGGATCGTCTCTCTCAGCTGGAATAAAGACAGTACAAGCATGAATGTGTTGAGCAACACGCTGGGTTAAAACCCTGAGAGCATGTATGGTCAAAAAAAAACTAATTTTCATGCTCTATAATTTCAGTGCATTTAATACGCTGCGAATCACGCTCACAGATAATGAATGACCATATTGTTTTATGCACACTACATCTGCTGCTTTTTAAAATCTGAAATGCACATGCAAGCGCATTGAAGTGAATCTCAGATCCAGCAATATTCAGCGCTAGAATTTGCATAAAGTAGAGTGGGAGGCCAGTGCAACTTCTTAATATGCAGGGTTAATTTATGCATAACATGGTCACACTTAGACTGCCGTAGAAACTCGATACAGCCCACAGAAAGTGAAGAGAAAAGTGACCTTTAACACAGAAAGCCCTCAAAGAGACTGTTAGATAAATGAATAAAAGTAATATTTTACACACCTGCATGATTTAGACATACTGCAGTGATGTATAATGCAGCCAAAGGTAAGGGGGAGTTAAACCAGAACTTGCTCATAGCCAGATGTCAGCTTCTCTCACAGAAAACCTGGGGGAAAAAAGCACAGACTGTCATTGGCCCTCGCTGACTGGACACCTCATTTGCAAGTGTTAATCATCTGATTCTGATAAGGTTCTCACATATGGCAAATTCAAATGTCATTTTAGCTGAAATGAGAAAGTCTTGAATTTCGATTCAAAGGTGGAAAAAACGAATCATCTATCCACCTACCTACCTACCTACCTACCTACCTACCTATCTATCTATCTATCTATCTATCTATCATATATATTTCAACGAGAAATCTCTCTCTATATATATGATTAAAGTGAAATATATATATATATATGATAGACAAGAAATATTTAAAATATATTGTCTATTTTATGAGAAATAAATTCTATATATAATTACTATATGTATATAACATTTCAATTTAATCATATATTTTTTCTTGTCTATTTTATAAAAGCAAAAATATCTAAAAGCATGTAAATAAAATATAACTATACATCAATATAAAAAATATAACAGTACTGAAATTATTTTTTAGCACACAAAAGTAACATTTAGCACATTTCAAAATTCACTATAAATAATTGAAAACAGGAAAAGTCCACTATCAATTGACAAGTGTTAGGATATTTTGACCAGATGGGCAAATCCAAATCCTAACATCTCAAACACTGTCTGGCTGATATTTCTGCCTATACTATTTGCATGCATGTATAAAATGCAAATCACTCAAGAGAATGGCAGTTCATACAGTATATGACTCAAACATTATAATGAGGTAGAGATAGAGTTGTCAGAAAGAAAGGACAGAAACTGTGATTCTTATCTTTGTGTCTATAAATCATTTAAGGAACAAATCATGTGCCAATGTAGATGCCAATAAAACACACAGTAATTAAACCTTGAGGAAGAGAGTCCCCTGAGAACTGAATAGAGCTTAAACATGTACTGTACTGTACACACACACACACACAATGAAATCAGACTGCTTTTAATTCAGTAAGTCTTATTTGAGCACTTGCTTACTGACCGTCTACAGTAATCATTTCAGTCTCATAAGAAATTAAACGAGCAAGAAAAACTAATTAATGGAGGTCAGAGCAGGCAAGAATTTCATTTCTGTTAGCTTTTATAAAGAGCAAAGTCCAAACTGCAGTCCTTCCTATCACAACAGGCTCCAGTTCTTTTGTTAACATACAGCTTACGTAAACTCAAAAAAAGGATTTCTGCGAAAAATAAAATAAAATTACCTCTTAACGGAACAACCAAATGCAGAGTAATCCAACAAACTCAGCAGTGCTATGAGGTGTTTTCTTTGCTAGTTCCTCTATTCAACTCTCACTCTCACCTGAAGCAGGAAAACAGGTGTTTCCTCTAAGGCTCCACCCCCTCACAGCATTCCACCAATCACAGCTCGAGAGTCACAAACTCAGTGAAACTTGCTGCTGACCAGCCCATGTACACATGACATGTTTGATTTGTGATTCATTGCTTCTGTGTAGGAATTTGAGCTTTCGTTTCAGTGAATGTTTCCACTTGGATTATCTAATACGAAATGTGTTCAAAGAATCACAGTAAGTAAATGGATCAAATCAGCCATTTTGGCTCAAACCATGTGATTGATTCAAACACAGTACGTTCACAGTAAAGCAGTGCTTCTCATCTGGATTAAAAACAATGGTAATTTCAAATAATACAATATAACTAGCTTTATAGTCATCCATAGTTAGGATATCATAAACATTGACATTTAAAAGGGCAGATTCACAAATTTTTCTTGCTGGTTTTGAAACTGAAGGCCCTGTGTCCAACCATGCATGGCGTTTTGGTGCAAATATACCTGCCATTTGATATGATGACTAATACTAATTCAATATTAGTGCTTGTTCTGTGTGTTAACTTGATAAATCATACTAACTGTTTCTGGATTTACAAAACTGTGTAATTTTAATACAATTCATGTTATGCTTTTAAGGATAATTTTGCAAAACCAATTGAGAACCATCTTATGTCACATATGTTGCACATTGTATGATTGCTTGAGATTATTTTTATTATTTTTATTCACATTTATTTTTATATTAGGCCCAATAGGCCAATATGTGTCTGTTTATTTTGGAAATGAACAGAGGCTGATGTAAAAATGTAAACACTGCAATGTTATTTCACGGGGGAATCAGATTGTTTGCTCGGCTCTGCTCAGACACTAATTATCACTACAAAACACGTACAATACTTGCATGATTCTCCTTGCAGTCACTGTAGGCTATGGATGTGTGTACACAGACTCAGATGAGGTCTTCTGTCAGTCAGCAGCTCTTTTGATCATCGACGCCTCCTCAAACTCCCACAGCTACACATAGAGCCGTGGATATGCTGATATGATCACCCTGGCAACATCACGAGCCACTGAGGACAAAAACACCAGGTTAGTGTAAATGTGTGCACAATTCAGAGTTTAGGAATCGGGTTTCATTCATGAGTGTGAATTGAATAAAAGTTTTTGCAGGGTTTTGTCTGCGCTTTTTTCCACCCGCCTCTTTTGAATTTAGGGATCAGAATTTAGGAATCAGGTCTCAGTATGAATTTGAATTGAATTTCAAATCCAAAATATCACAGGACAGAGAGAGTACCATATGTCAAAATTTGATTGATGACCCCTTATAAAATATATCAATATAAAAATTCTACAGATTCCTAAAGATTTTGCAAACTGTGTGTCCATAAATGGTAAAACAAGTCAAGACGGGTACAAAGTATTTATGTATTGTTAATTTTAGAAGCGGTAAAATGTCTAAAACAATGTATCAGACATACTCGTGAGCATTAAACAATACCATACAGCAGTTGTTAACATGTAAAACATTTTACATCTTCTAACATTACAGTTTAAACAGTTGGTAGAGTTTATTACTGATACAAGATTTTAGTAAAAAAAAGAAAAAGAGCCAAGTATCTTGCGCTGTGCCACGATATACGTCCTCAAGGGCCAGCGACAGAAAATTGTATGAGCTTAGATCTTATGTGTAAAACCACACACATATGCGCAGATGTTGTTAAATGTCTAATCATGATAAAAGAAAACTATTTTATATCATGCTGCTGTACATTTAATTTGTACAAAATGTCAATAGAGCATTAGGGAAATGAAATGTTTTTCTACCATGGTCCATAAAATGTCCTTTATTTTATTAAAATTAATTTAAAGGGGTCATATGATGCGATTTCAATTTCTCTTTGAAGTGATACAAGCCCTTGGTGCATAAAGAAGATCTGCAAAATTGCAAAGACTAAAGTCTCAAATCCAAAGAGATATTCTTTATAAAAGTTAAGAGTCAGCCACACCTACCTAAAACGGCTCGTTCTAACACGCCCCACATGTCTACGTCACGATGTGGGAAGATTTGCATAACGCCGCCCAAATGTTCACGCAAAGAAAGAAGGCGTAACTTTTATTCTCACTGTAGTATTGTTGTTGCTGCCGCCATGTTGTGGAGACACTGTGTTTCGTTGTGAAAGAGAAACTACTTTGTTTGGTCTT